TTGTGACAATTTTGGCATTGTTGGCTTTGTGCCGGACTAGCCAAAGGAGACTGAATTCCGGAGCAGCAGTACAACGCAGTCTTTCGGACGCAGAAGATGAGCAGGAACGGTCGGAAATTTTAGAGCATTGTCTGGATTTGGAGCAGGAATTTGGCGTTCAGCCAGCTGTTTCGGAGTATGTTGAAGAGGCGAGCGAGGCAAAGTCTAGGCTCGCCGCCATGTTATACGATTCTGCGGCGACTTTTGAGCGGATGCGCGCTGTTGGTCCACAGATGTTGCAAGATGAAGCGCAGCCGCCTCCACCGAAGCTTCCTCGGCTTAATGAGTCATCGCCGTCGACATCGCATTCAGAAGCGTCGTTTAGAGCATTTTGGCAACGCGGGAGTGGCGCAGCAGTGGGCGGTGTGGTCAGCGCCTTAGACCCAGATGCCTGGACGCCGGAGGATCCAACCGTAGGGGTTGGGGGAGGCGCGCAACAATCGCAAACCGCGAAGCTGGAAGAACTGCTAGGGATTCAATGGGGGGTGTCGACATCTCCAGTAGGACCGTCCGCAGTTTATGAGTTAAACGCAGGTGGCTGGCCGCCGACTGCTTTGTCACTCGGTAGAGCAATCAGCGGTGAAGGCGGTCTGACTCCTGGTGCCTCGCTTGACGATTCTCTAGCGCTGACGGATGAGCGAGCCTTTCAACAAACGGGAGTTGGCACTGTATTGCGANGTTTCCACCCCTAATGAGCTTGCAGGTAGAGCGGATCTTAGGATCCCACGTGCAGACGTTGGTCAGGCTAGTGCAGTGCGCCCAATTCAGACGACACCAACGCAACAGGTTGGCCACCATACGGGACCATTTTATGTTACGGTCAAGCTCTTGGGCACGTCACCGGCAGCTCAAGCTGTGCCGGCAACTAGTAGTGGAGGCGGGGAACCCTGTGAGGCTACGGACATTAGTCTGCATCCGTTTGTACGGTTGCCAGCTGTGAATCCAAAGGATGTCCGCCGAAGCTTCCATGCGGAGCGTGCATTGGCGCCCTACTTTGGTAGGTCCAGTCCAATGGATTCATACGTGAGAATGCGTAGTTTGTTTGCGAAGGCTTCGCTGACGCCTGAAGAAGCGGAAGCCCTCATGCTTGAAGCCGAAAAACTGTCAAGCTATGCAATAGACAAACTGACAAGGGTAAGTAAGAGGAGACTAGCCAGCCACCTTTTCACGAAACTATCATCTTTGTTTATGCTTTTTGACCACCTTGTATCCACAATCGAGGTCCTGGGCGACAAGATGGATACCGGCAGTTGGTGGACTGAATTTGCGCAAAAGTTCCAGACGGATTATGTGCTTCCTGTACTAGGAGGTGGAGCAAGAACAAAAGTGCTGGGCAAGCTTGTCAATCGACTGAGTTCTGCACTTGCAGTATATAAGGAAGGAAAACGCCCTGAACTTATAGAAATAATTCAGCTGAAAAGGGCCATTATTTTTCAAGCGTACAAAGATAGCCAGCTGTCGCACCCACTGTGGAAGCTCTGGATGGAGGACGATGAGGAGTTCTCTTCTTCTAATAGACATCTCGACTTTCCTTCTTACCGTGGACCCCCCGGCGAA